TGTGTCTGCCTCTTCCTACCCCTCTCATTTGTATGATTGTCAGTGTGTAACACTTTAACGCTTGAGTGTTGTAAGGGGAATTATGATCACATACATACATAAGTATATATACAGACATACATACATATGTACACCCACATATAATATAAATATTAAAGCAACTTTCTCAGCGTTCATACATTTTTCTTTGATTTCCTTAGGGATACTAACTAAATATACCAAAAAAGGAAAAGAAACAAATAGTGGGGTGGGGAAAGGAAAGGCAACAATGGACGCACAATTTCCCCTTCGTTTTTCCAGCATCCAGCCGAAAGGGGCTAGACAGACACTAGGTGAAAAGATGAGAAAAAAAAACGTGCACAAAAATAAAAAGGGAAATCAAATAAATTCGCGCAGGCGTTGTAATTTTAGAAAAGCAAAAAAACAAACGGGACTCTCTGCACTGTAATGAAATTTGCCAGGCGAAACGTTTTAGGTTGGGTGGCCGAAAGGACATTAGTAGTCCTATGTTAATTTGGTGCGCCTAATAAACTGCTACTTTTTACCCCACACACACAAACACGCCCACCTGTATTTGCCTGTGCGCCCGCCCACTCCCGCCACTCTCTCCTCTCTGGCGTGGCTGTGCAAATTTGGCACTTCAACAGCTCCTTTGCGGCAAACGGCGTCACGTACGCGCAGCCAAGTGAAAGCTGAAATTTTTGTTGAAAAAGGATATATGGGCGCAGAGCTGGCGTTGTCCTGGCTGCGTGCCTCGCATATCAAATGTGCGTCAAGGTGTGACTGTGTGTGGGACTATGTGTATGTGTGTGTAGTTGGTCATATATATGTATATTCGCCATCTTGACTGTATGCGCTCTTGAAGGCAGAGGGGTATATTAGTTTTCTCTTTTATTTTTCTTCTTCTGATTTCTTCGTTCGTCTTTCAGTTACCTTGAATGTAATCCAGCAGTCCCTCCTCGTGTTCATTTATCTGTTTAATTATCAGGCAATTTTCATCTATTTCAGCCTACTTCCCTCTAGCTTCCCTCTATCCACTCGTCCGTGAAGTAATACATGCATTTATAAATCTGTGCCTTGATCTAACATAGTAGAGCATTACGCAGTCGTGTTCAACTCTTGCGTAAAGCAGTTGTAAAAATATCGATTTTTCTTTTCTTAAATCCCATTTTTTCCCCTGATTTTTTTTTCTTCTTGTTTTAGTAAAGCTCACTTTCAATCTGTTGTGTGTGTTTTGGGGGCATTACAGTGAATCAATCAAATAACATTTCATATTTCATGCACACACTTGGCAACCCTGTCCAACTGTCAAACACATGTAACTGTCAAAGAGTGCTGCGGTTTATTTATATATTTATTTATTCATCATATTTCTTAACTGCTTTTTCTTAGTTTTGACAAGAGCATGTCCATCAGAGAAGTCGCAGCACGCCTATCAAAAAAGAAACAAAAATGTATGTGTATATATAAATGTATAAGAAAATATATTTAACTGACATATCACGCAGGCGACAATCCAGGAAGAAGCAAGCCTAAGCCTAGGCTACGAAAGTAAACAAAAGCCAGTTGCACAACAACTTGACAATTGAATGTCAAAAGAATAAATTGACAACCAGGCTAAAAAAAAGAGAATCATCTATATTATAATATACATATGCCGTAAAACTTGTCACAGCTGAAAGTTGGCGAAGTCAACGTTTTTGATGGCTCATTTAAACAGATTAAAGGCAAAAGAAGGGGGGATTTCTATAATTAATAATATATATTAAATTAATTATGTAAATATTCCCATCAAAACACTAAAAACATTTCCAAATACTTTTTGGAAACTAGTTCATAAGAACTATTCTAAAAACTGTCTTTCAGTAAACAAAGGAAAGAGTTGCAAGTATTTCACTCACATAATTGAAATCAATAGCAGCTGAAAACTTGAACAGTGCACGCATCCGCCTTAAGAATCGCCTCGAATCGGACGTTGCCAATAGCTTTATTAGTGAACTGACCAACACGATTCTGGGCAATTATTTAGCTGACTCCGTTCGTCAATTGATCCTCGGCGAAATGCATCCGTTCCGGCCATATAGAGCTTAAGCATAAGCCGATACAGCAAAAGTATTGATTGCACATAATTATGGGATTCTTGCAACAACAGAAGCTGCATCGACCGAAAACCGAAAACCAAAAAGTGAAAAGTGCATTTTTTTTACTTCACCAACCTGACCAACATTGGCGCAAATTTAAATGAGGCAACTGGTTTTCGACCTGAAACGCATAAAAATCGGAAGTTGAAGCTTTAAATTTAATGCGCTTACTTTAAAGAGTGTTGAAAGCGCTGCGATCAAATTGCCAGCAAGCTTGACATGTGAGTGAGATAGTTACAAAAAAAAGGAAAAACAAGAAAAGAGATCAAGTTTTTGGCAAATTGCTTTTAGCCATTGCCTCTTTTAAAATAACGTTAATTTGCGCTGCTCCACACTTCACGAAGTTGATGCCAGCCCAACGAAAAGTTGCAGACATACATGAGCAAATAGCTACAAAACCACCGCAAATAACCGAACCCTGCTATATGTCACAGGCTGACAGCTATGAAACGTATGCTTCATTTTGAACAATAGATGACGCCACTTGACAGACGTTGCCCGGCAACCAGTTTGAATTAAATCAAAACACAACTTGACAATTGCAAATTTTGCTTCGACAGTTGAATATCAGTTGAGAAAATTAAGTAATCAAGATGAAATTCATACCGCTGCACACCACAAACACGGCCATTGTGTACAAGAACTCAATATGTTCACTCGCCTCGCTGCTGGTGCTCGTCTTTATAGCCCTCTCCGTAATGCTGCCCGTCCTGTTGGTGTCTCTGCTGAGTCCCTACTCCGGCATATCCGAATCACGTGTCTTATATGAGCAGCCGGACCTGAAGTTTAAGTATCAGTACATATTCGTGGCACATGTGGAATCGTCACAGGATACCGAGTCACTAGAATCGTCCTTTGTGGCCTGCAGCAGTTTCACCAACTTCAATGCGCGAGTGCAAAACTATTCGAGTCGCTGCGAGACGACCAAATATTGGGTGCAGGACCTGGACTACGATGCGGTGACGGATCGCGTGCACTTTCAGCTGGAGCTGCAGCAGCTGCCTGCACCTCTGATAAACTTCGATTTGCTGCTGTTCTTCGAGGCGCAGCTGCGCCACAAATGCCTCCTCAATCCGCCCGCTGTTTTGGCGCATCAACTACAAATGCCGCAGGCTGTGCGGCTCCAGAATGGACACGTCCAACTGAAAGGCGAACTCAAGCTGAAGCAATTTGTGGAGTTCACCTGCCCGTTTCCGGGACGTAACCTGCAGACCCACTTCCGGCAGGTGCAACTGGACACGAACAACAGCTTGGCGGACATCTCGCAATACAAAATGGAGTCGCTGCTGGCCCAAGTGAAAGCTAACCCGGCCTACTTTCAGCTGGCTGTGCAGGAGACCTATTACAGGGCCGCACCGCCGCGCTTAAGCCCCGGCCTAACCATCGACCTGGAGCTGGATGTGCTGCAGGTGCCGGCACGCTATCATTTGAGCATTTGGGAACGTCTTGGACAGTTCTGGTTGTATTTTGCGTCTTTCTTCGGCATTTCATTTTACATTATGAATAAGTTGAAAGATTTTCTATTCGGACGCCATATCGTTCGCTCTTGGGAGATAATTCCATGGAAGAAGCTCTACTGACACGAGTCGGGCGCCATTCTAGAAATGGACAACTTTTCCATAGGCGAATGAGACACTTTTCCCAATTTCAGTCAATGTGTACATTAAATAACAAATTATACATGAAATTTTAAGTGTTTGTTTTGGATTATGGAGTATGTAGAAGGTGGCTCTGACCATTCCTATTTGTCGCGGCTGTTGGACATGAGAGCTAAATTTCCAAAGCCCGATTGGGCACGATCCGGCGTAGGATCATAGGCACGATTATCCGCCAGGACGATTGTGGTGCGTGGATAATGATCTAATTGCACAAATAAATAACGAAATTCCAGTTGGCCCTTTGAGTCCTGCATTGAAAGCAAGAATAAAAGATTATACGTGGATCTTAAGATCTCCAATTGGAGTGCGCACCCTTCTTGCTTCCAGCTGTACGGTTGCCTTGTTTCGCAGTCCTTGGACATAGAACTGCATGCGCATGTGGGGCACTCCATTCCGTTCGAAGCTGGTATGGGCAACATGCTGGCGACGACCACGACGCGATGTCTCACCAAAGCCCTTGATGGGTGCTCCAATGGCATCCTGTACACGGGGATCATCTACGACCATTTGCAATGCCTTGGAATATATATTGCACGAACTCTCCTTCGAGAAGAGCTCTCGGAAAATGGCGTAAAACATAATGCCCGTTACACCGAGTCCTGCCAAAATGATGGCCGTATAGCTTGCCGTCTTAGTGTTCTCTTTGATCTTCTCGCCGATGGGTCGAACATCAGTAGACACATTACTGTCGCCTCCGCTTGACTCCTGTAGTGCGCCACCATCTAAAAGAAATGATTGATTAGTACAGTGTCACTTTCTATTATGGGTATTACAAACTGTTTTTCGCTTGCTGTGCTACGGAATTGCTCAAATGCAACGCTGCTAGAGATCGAAGCCGTGTGGTTGTGGGCAACAGCATCGTTTTCCTGTGCAGCAATAAACTGCGCAGTAGTATTGACTGTGCCATGGTTTTAGTAAAAGAATAACCTAAACAAAATTATATAGAAATCTGCCGTGTGTCTGAATAACAAAATATAAGTCGAACATCTGTTTTGATGAATTTGGTGATGAGTACATTAACGATATATTTTATATAATCCATGGCAGCTATCGATGCACTTTAGAGATGGCACTGGTTTTCTGTAGTGGAATAGAATAACAACTCAACAGTCCCGTCACGCACGTCGATATTTCAAATACTCACAGAGTATGCTATCGATAAGCAATCGTTGACTTTCGTGATAACAAAATTGAGACGGTATAAAGCAATAGGTTCGTAACATTTCCATACCAGTTACTTAAAAGAGCTCAATCACGTCGCCATCAACGCTCGTCAGGCATATCGTCAAGCGTACACTCGCAGGCGGTGTTAATAAATTCAAGCAAGGCAAAATTATGGTCATAACACACAATGTTAAGGGCTACGAAGAGTTCTCCAAGAAAATGGAGGAACTAGAAACCGGTGACGGCAACAACCAAGTGCATGTCCTCTTCAGTGGTGGCAAAGACGAAAATGGCGAGAGCTGGTGTCCATATTGTGTCAAGGGTAATATAGAATGATGTCTAGTGGTTAACCGCAAAGAGCATACAATTACAAATTTAATTATTGAATTCCCAAATGGTTAATTTATACGTGCTCTACTCCCACAGCTGAGCCGGTGATACATGATGCATTGAAGAAGGCCCCTGAGAACTCCCACTTTGTGCATGTCGATGTTGGCGAGCGTTCATAGTAAGTTATAATCATAGTTGTTCAACAAATGACAGCTGACAATTTCGCGGTGCCGAATGCCCTTGCAAAAATGTTGTAAATGAAAATACATTTTCTGCTTATTAGAATAATACGTATAAGATTTAGATAGCAATCCAATTGGAATATGGAATAATTTCTATTTAACTAGTCCTTATACTCGCATAATTTTGTTCCTGAACATCTGTATGTTATAGTAATCTGACGTGGCCATGTTGATGCTGGCTATAACTGAACATGAAATTAGCTCTAAATGTCGCTCAGCTATGTATATCGAGCTTATATTTACGTCAACTGCACAACTGTATAATTAGACGTTGACCACTAAACAAAAATATATATATGTACGGCTTGTTAAGGTTATGAGGGCTTTCGACGATAACTCTCAAGAACATTTTACAGCTCCTCTAATATAAATACGAATACACATATATATCTGTATACATTTGTGTAGTGCATGTTGTTACGCCCATAAAGTTAGTGATAAACATTCAATTTCGCAAGACTGGCTGACTGTTTAAATAACTTTAATTCGGTCGGCTTTTTATCTTTATATGGAATACGAGCGAATTATTTAATGAGATTATAATTTTGCAGCTGGAAAGACTTGAATTGTCCATTCCGCAAGGATCCAAACACCCATCTGATTTTCTTGCCAACACTGCTGCGCTGGAAGTCGCCACAGCGATTGGACGGCGAACGCTGCTCCAACAAGGATCTGGTCGAGATGATGTTCGAGGATGAGGAATGATTACACAAGCAACTCCAAATTAATGGCAGCCTCCATTGCACATATTTACAACAGTTGTCATATATTTTAATTCTGGAATGTTTCGCAATGCACGCATTATAATTAAAACATTTTAAATTGTCACTTTAATAGTTGCTTTTGTACTTCTTGATCTCGACCATAACCACATGGATATTTGTTAGTTGAGCGCGCGCATTCGGCGTCAGCAATTTGTGGAAACGATGATAATATTGGACTAAACTGGCTAGCGCCAACTGCAGCAGTTGAGAGCCGGTCAATAGAGATGGGAACGATAGAAGTACCTCGCGATTGAGTTCCTCCAATGATTTTTTCCAATTTGCTGAGAAACTGGCCACCAGAGCAAGACTACGTCGCTCCTGCTTACGTAACTCATCGGCTTGATCCTTTTCTACATACTGCTCACCCTCTTTGACGAACTGTATTATGCCTCCAAAGTGTGGTGCCAAGATCTCGTCCACGTATTCAGCGCTGCGCGCATTCAATTGCTCACGAAACGCTTCAGCCTCTTTGGAGTTGTCGCGCGTATGCTCCATGAGCACGCCAAGCACTAGATCATAGTTATTGATCAAATAAATAAGCTGATCCTTGCGTGTGGCAAAAATGGCGGCCATTCGCAAAATGAAGCATTCGACTTCATTTTGGAGCTCCAGCAGCAGTCGACTGACCAGCTCATTGGGGAAGTGCTCCGAGATTCCAACAATGGCGGCACTAAATTCAGCATAGCGACGCGTTATCTGAAAGGAGCGGGATTTATATTAACAGACATTAGCTAGGGAATCTTACTCGTACATAATGTGGACCCATTTCTTTGTTAAACTTTGTGGGATCACAGTCGTGAATGCTCTGAATGTTTAAACGAAAAACATACTCAAAACGTGGCCAAATAACTGCTTGCAGAGAGTCCCAATATCTAAAAAGGAATAATAGGAATATAGATGACATCATCATATATAAGTATATATGGTATACTGACTTATCCAGTGCTGGCACACAGCGCTTGTGGCACATAAGCTGGTACCGAAAGATCAGGTGTATGCAAAGGAACATGGCTATGGTATCGTAACAATCATGTATTGAGGTTTCCAGATTTTTCTTAAAAAAGAAGAATAACCAGAGCCAATTAAAGATAAACTAGATGTTAATTCAGCCTTTACATACAATCATCAAGGTTAACGTTTTGCCCATTATTTGATTGAACAGATCCTGCGCTTGGGTGTTGCGCACCATAAAGAACTCAGTTACAAATAAATACTCTCGGCACGCATTGTCAACCAAGGCATATTGTTCCGAGCGGAACAGCGCCTCCGCCGTGTACTATAAAGGGGAGAAATATATTAATAGTAAACCTTTATGCAGGCACTCTCGAAACTTACGCGATTCTTGAGCTGTGCGTGGGGCACTATAATTGGCGCCTCCAACTGCTGGTTAAGTATGTCGCCGCGTTTGCCAATGGTGAAGATTGTGCTCTTATGCTTGAGACTCGTTGTCTTGGCAAACAGACCCTTGGAAGCGTTGTCCTCGATGCCCATTAGATCATCCTTGGTGCAGGATTCCTCAAATTTAAGGCTTGACAGGCGTGTTGAGTAACTCTACAAAAAATCGACATTCAGTGAATTGAACCAACGTCTACTTATTTGACTTACTTTAAAATAACTATAGTAGATTTTGCCCATAGTATCGATGTATTCGCTGCATATCTCCTGCGCAACATGGCGCTCGTTGGACAATATAAACTCGAAGAAGAACTTGTGCTTCAGCATCGCATTCTGCGGTATCTGATAGTTGGTCATGGGCTTGCGAAACTTGTAGATCTGTTCGAGCAGATAGCTGCGTATCTTGGACATGGCTTTGAGGCGCAGCTTGTGCAGAACATCACTCACATCGCTCGTTGATTTCGATTCCTTAAAGCTTAATTCTTTGACGAGAGACAGCTTGTGGTTCAGCACGTTCAATTGGGTGCTGAATTCACGCTCTGTCACAGGCGTGTCCATGATTATGTTGATCATCTCTTCCGAGACGGCCATGTCCCCGATGAACTGTGACAGCTGCGCTTTAACCGACTGCCTGTTGGTCAATTGCAGCGACATGGACACGGATTTGCGTTGCAGCTGTGTTATTTCTGTGCTGATGTTGTTGAGCACGCTCTGGAAGCTCATCAGCATGTTCTCCATGCGTTCCAGCACCTCGTCACAGTCGTTGATTTGATTGTGCAGATTGGCAATGTTCTGCGATTCGGCAATGTAATCCTCAATTGATTTGTTCTCCACATCCTTGAACTCCTTCTCAATTTGACGCGAATATTGGCGCAGATCTGTGGTGTTCTTTAAGATCTCACGCACCTCGTCGTTGTCGAGGGACGCTTCCTTAAGAGCGTCCATTGTGTACGTGAAGTGCCAAATCAGAATTGGGTGTAGTTTTTTTCGATGTTATTTATCCATATGTTGATTGGGCCAAGTATGCTGTTCGCACACATAGTGGGGTTACTCAACGATGCCTTCGAATCGAATTTTATATGCATTATATAGATTTTTGATTGCCA